AATTAGAGGAGTTGATTAATATTACCTTAGTTACTTAAATATCGTAACAATAAAATTATAGGTATGTGAAAATCGCCTTTTGTATCAATTTATTGTATATTATTCAAATATTATAGAAGCCATGATTAATTCAATGGTACGCTCTTGAGAACAATAGCACGTCATTGAGCTGGAAAGGTTTTCTGAAGGAGGAATTTTAACATGATTATGGGGAGGGTCATAATTACGAAATTTCAACCTTTGTCATCTCCATAAGACCCTGTAATTAACTGTAAGAAGTTACAAATTATAAATTTAGAACTTTATTGGTTTCAGCTGCTATTTTTAAAATTAAATGCAATACTACATTCAGCAAAAATCTCTTCATTTTTAATAAATTGTATCCAAATCTTTGTTTTACGAATAATATTTCTCGTGTTTGTATTATTGGATTTTGACGATGATTGATTAGCAAAGGACTTTTATAACTATATCCGATAGTGTGTAACTTTATCGCACCACTTTTTATTTCAATTGTGCAATTCGTCGATTATTTAGGTCATCAATTTCTTTTATGAGCTGACTCATCCGTTAAAACTTCAAAAAAAAAAAAAAAAAAAAAAAAGATTTCGATGGTCGTGAAATACAAAAAATGCTCTATTAACTTATAAATATCTCTTTATCGAATTAAAAATTTAGACTTGACCAGTGACAAAACAATAGATATACCATATAATATTAAAATGTTCCAAACAGGACGAAATTGAGAAACAGAATTGAATTTTTAATGAAGTTTAATGTCCATCACAAGATATATATTTTATGCATATTTTTATTTCATAATTTTATTTAATAATAATCTATTGTAAATAATCTCAAACAAATTGTTTCTTTGAAAGCTATAGAATAGAGAGTCTCACTAACAAAAAATTTATTACGAAAAGCCTAATTTATAATACTTTCAATCCTCTTTTATCAAGAACTCAAAAAATTAAACTATGGCTCCTTATTTTTGCGTGATCTCATCGATCTAGCCGGTTTGTAATTTATCGAGCCCAACAACGAAAGTTTTTTCATTTGTGATTGATTATAAATAAATAAATAAAATATAAATTAAGGAAAAAATGAATAACTTTTTTTAGTGTGTATATTTTAATAGTTTCCTTTGAAGAAAAGCTTTAGCGAATAACAGTACTTTTAAGGATGTCGCATAATAAAAAAAAACCAGATTATCACTTTATATTATAAACATGATTTTCCTGTTGCCTTTTTATCCTTTTATTGACAATTTATTGATTTCAGTTTAATTTCGATTGAGTTAAATAATCCATCTATTTAATGCGAATAATGAAGATTAGTCGATTCTGAACATATATACTTATAAAATAACCCATCTGCGCTAATACAGCTATGTTTGACAGGTCCAATAACGCATCCAAAAATGAATTACAATCAGAGTTGTATCAGAAGAAAAAGAAAGAAAAATTTACATATTTAAATATTATTTAGTTAATAAAGAGTTTTCAATTCTAATTTAGAATTTTTAAAAGTTATCATAAAGTATTTACATCCTTAAAAATTTTTAAATAGTAAATTTTTTAGCCAATGCTTAATTTCATTCGTTTCTTGATTTCGCATCTCCCCAATAGTCAGATTTGGGATCACGCATTATAATAGTTTATACAGTTCTCAACGATAATTTATTTATTAAATTTTTCTTTATTACTTTCACAACAAGATTATTTATTTAGCACGGAATCAACGCCATATATTACAAATGTTATAACCGTGACAGTTCGGTCCTCCGGTTCTTAGAATATGGAGAATATAGATCGAGGACCGCTTATACCGTCTAAGACCGATCTTACCGGTTTATTGTATGTAAATATGTTTTTGATATAGGAAAATCAGGTATTACATCAAAACTAAAAATCAAAATTTTTGTTAAAAAGTTCCAGAGCCTAGCTAATGATTCTAGCAATCTACCCATATATGGTCAAAAAAAAAAATAAAAAATAAAAGATATATAAAAAAATATAAAGATTATTTTGTCCATATTACTGTAGATAATCAATTACATTTAATTAAAATGTATTGGAAACCATAATTCTCGAAATATGGGATTTAAGCGTTTCGTTTATGTTACATGCGCTAAATTTTTTGTTTGGATTAAATGATGACTTGATAATTTATCAACTGAACAAGACTAAATGAAATTTTGGCACAGTTTTTTTTGTGAATCGTGGCTTAATTTTATTATGATATTAAATAATTATTTATATAGTATATGTTTCAGTGCATACATTTGTTGTGACTGAAATTGATTTTCGTCTGAAGTTGGAATTCAGACGATCTTCGATAACTGATTGGTCAATTTTTATGTAACTCTTTAATTTCAGTTAAATTGAGTTTCAGACACAAGGCCGTCTGAAATTAAGATATCTGAAATTGAACTTCAGTTAAAATCTGAATTTTATACAAATTATATATTTATAAATTAAAATTAAAATAATATGAAGTATCTATAATCTATCTACATGTACTGTACAAAAGCAATTTATTTTAATTAATAAAATTTTTATGATTTTTAATTGTCCTTTATTTATTTTTTTTTTACTATTCTATTATATAACAAACGATTCCTTTTCTTTATAATTAAAATTTGAAAATATTTATAAAAAGTTAAGTAATTTTATTTTAAAATTCGCCTCTCAGCTTCAAAATATTATAATTATACAGGTAACTTGTAAAGGTAGGAGTTCCTTTTTGCTGAATTAAAATAATTAAAAAGAAGAAAATAGTGAATGTTTTTAACGTGTTTTCTAATGAAATGATTATTTTTGCTTTTTCAAGTTGGATTACTTCGGTCTGAAGTTTAAAAAAAAATCCTGAAAAAATAGAGGAAAACAAAAATGAATAAAATCACTTATTTAACTGACGCAGCACCCGATGTGGTCGAAAAAACCTGCATGAAAATAAAATAGAAATAAAATAAAACTAAAAAATAAATAAAAATAAAAATAAAAATAAAAAATAAATTTAAAAAAAAGAATTTACTTATTTTGCCAAAAACTGAATAAAAATAAAATCGAATTAAAAAAATTTAAAAAAATTTAAAATAAATAAAAATAAATAAAAATGAAATAGAAAAAAAAAAAAATCGAAAAAAAGAAAGATACATTAAAAAGCAGCCCGAATGAGAACAAAAATCCTAAAAAAAAAAATATAAAATATAAAATGATAAATAATAAAAGAAAAAAAATTTAATAAATAAATGCCGCGAAATTAAATTATAATTCAGCTAATAGCTAAAAGTTAACTATATTTACGAAATTGTAAAAAAAAAAAAAAAAAAAAAAAAAAAAATTGGCATATTGTGATTGGTTAAAATAGTTTTTTTATAAGTTGTCTGAAGTCGGAATTCAGATAACAAAAAGGGTGTCTGAAATTGGAATCTCAATTTCAGACACTCGAAGATCGTCTGAATTCCAACTTCAGACGAAAATCAATTTCAGTCATAATACATTCATTATCGTTTGAATCAAATTTGTATCATGCATTCATAAATAATATTATGTTCAATTCAATCGAACACAGATTGACAGAAAGCTTTCAGTTAGCATGATAGTTTTTTATTTTATATCTCCAAATCAATAACTCACAAGATATTCGCGTGACTCATCAGAAAATACAACATTATTTTATCTTTTTCTTTGGTGGGACCTTGTCCAAGCGACATGAAAATTCATAGCCTCCTGGGTAAGAAAAGGTACAGGACGAGAAATACAAACTTTATACCTAAGAACTTGGAGGTTCTCTCTAACCGTACGGGATGCAATATCAAGGTCAGGACACTTTTTTAATGTTTCTGTTATTACTTTACTTGAAGCACACTTTTGTGATTTCACAATTCGACCAAGGTAACAACGCTTATTAGGAATAAGTTACCTTGGACGTCCCAGACGACTTCCTTGCTTAAGGTCATTCGTTTCTTTGAGCTGTTTGGCTCACCTGGATACCCAGATGCTTTATGAAGGTCTGCTACTATATGAACTCCACTATTCCATAAAGTTTTAATACAGTGGCGGCGGTCTTTTTTTGAATCCAGTGTGTAACACGTGTTGCAGCTGAGCTGCGGATTTTTATTAAAATAGGTAAAAAAAAAAAAAAAAATTGTTTACTGAATACTAATATTTAAGCTAGTAGAAGTCCCCTTCTATACTAATTTTTAAATGTTTTGAATAAAATAAACTAACACACATCTTATGTGTTTTTTTTTTTTTTTTTTTGAATGAACTTTTCCATTTAAGTGACGAAAACAATGATCGTTGCACAACTCGATTAACAACTTCAGTATCGTCGTCAATTTTTTATTGATTATTAAGATCTCAAAATCGATTAACTTTATAAAAATATGAAATGAAAAATAAAAATTTGTGTAAATTTACAACTTTTTGAAAAAACTCAATTTAACTTGAAATGTAGCCTTCCTTCACAAAAAATTTATTAAAACGAGAATCATGAGCGTGAGGTGCAGTTAATATTCAAAAAAAAAAAAATAAAAGATCGTTGATGCATTAATATCGTAAGGAGTTCATTTTTTTTATTTACTATGACGTAACGCTAAAATACTGTAAACCCAATCCAGAATTAGATTTAAGATCTGGGAATATCGAATATGAAATTTGTTGTACAAAAGTACTATTTTGAAAATGTTATTTAACCCAAAGTACTAAAAATTACTACAAAAAGAGCTTATATTATAAATTGTTTGGTATTATTATCTAAATATATTTTTTTTTGTTTGGTTATCAAACAAAATATTTTATACTAGATAAACAGATCAACATTATGCAGGTAGTAGTGATTTACAAAATTTGAGAACTTATAGAAACAAATCATATGTGATCTTCCTTGCTGAAATAGATTTATGAAATAAAAAGAATGCTTAAAAGATTTATTCCCTAGATATCATTATTATTTGTTTTTTTCATTGAAAATATTTTCAAACACATTCAATTATGGTGCTCGTAAGACCTCACAGGCATGGAAGTGAAGCGTCGATTTCTAAAATTTATGAAAACTATGATGTTTCCATTAGTCCGGATGGAAATAGGATAGTTGTATTAAACATCACATCTTGTCTATTAAAATTATATAAAGCGAATGACCTGTCAAAAGTATGTAAAGAAATAAATTATGATAGTAAGCTAAAACTAAACAGGAGTTTAACCGTGTCCAATGAATTTACTTTGGCAGATGGAACTGCTGAAGTATTAATTGCCATGTCTTGTTTTGACGATAATGATATGAAATTAAAAGATAACAAGAGAAGAACTCATTCTAATGAACTTTCTTCAGCTGAAGAAGCTGACGTCAATGTGAATGATCAAGATAAATCATCTACATTCATTTTTTCTACTGCGAGGCAAGTGAAAATCGACTCTCCGATTAATGATATGGGAGGAATAATCAAATTTTTGGATACCAAAGATGATGACGATAAAACCGAAGTAGTTCTTATAAATGCGCTCGGAATTACTAAAGCATTCTTAAATCATGTTGAAGGTGTGAACGATAAAAAGAGCAGTATTTTAAGCTTTATTTGTCCTGCTAAACCAATTGAGGAGTTTAATTTTCCAAAAAAATTTTCAAAGGAAATTATACGATTATCAGGCAATGAGACGTGTACCTCTCTTATCCAACGGAATTTAGTAAAAGACCGTTTTGTTATAGAAAGCTATAAAGATAAAGTACAATCCATTGAAATGTATAATTTAAAAACAACTTCATTAGAAAATACCTTCCAAAAACGTGAAGAAATCGCTGCTTCGGTTGTAGGAAAAGGTGTTCCTTTTTTTGCCATTTCAAAAAATGAAACATTATTCGCTTATTGTCGAGGTACCAACAGTATTACTATTTATTTAATGGAAAATGGATTAGAAGTTACCACAAAGAAATTCAAAGAAAAGAATGTGATAAGAATTCTTTCTTTTGATTTCATTCAGGAAGATAGTAAACTATTAATTTTTATCGAGGAAGAAGGAAATAATCCAAAGGAATATAATTATTCGCCTGTAATTGTGGTTTGGGGTCTATTTAGTTGCTCTTATAATTGTGTTGAAAGAATCACTGATACATCCTCAATATATTCCTTTAAACACGATTATTATCAAAGATTAATTGTTTCTGATAACCTTATATTTATCGATAATGATGGGAACATTTTTTCGACAATAGAAATATCAGAAATAAATAAATTGATGAATCCTGAAAATAATAAAACAAGAAAGATTATTTCACTTGACAAATCTCGTGAAATTGCCAATACTTCTAAATCAACCAATACAGCCAAATCTCTTCCCTTATCGGTAGCAGATAATCATTTAGTTTACCATGTCTCTGGAAATCGTTTAGACTTTGAGGATCAAAATGATACAATTATCGTTAACGATCCTGAACCTTGGGTACACAACACGTATTACTATCGAACCACGATTTATCTTGATGCTGAGGGTGAAACTCAGTTAATTATTGGAGAATCCACCGTTCAAGTATGGCTTAAAAGAAAAGGAATTTCTAAACCTAAAAGAATTCTTGAGTATATTTGGACAAATCCTTTTAAAGAAATGCATAGACAAATGCAAATTCTATCTTTGGAAGTTGCTTATAAGGAATTCTCTTTGATATTATACATTCCTTCTGGAGATTCACCTACTCAACCTGGACAACAAGTTACAATTGAATGGCCCGATAAAGTTAATGTTCCGGTAGACGCATGCCAATCATTGAAATTTCTTGAACAACTAAGGAATAAACCTTCAGGCCCAAAGAAGCAACACATTTTTGAAAACTTGGTTCAACAAACTGAAAATATTATCAAGAAATATTTTGTTAAAAGATGTGGATTATGGAGAATGTTGGATATTCGTTATGATCTTATGTCACATCTTATTCAGGGTAATCGTGTTTCTATTATCAGAAGTATTTTATCTTTTAAATCTGCAAATGGCAAGAATAAAAATTTACATATTCCAAGACTTCATTCCTGGGATGGGAGAGTCAAAGAAACTGACCTTGAGATCGCCATCAAGCACACGAGGGGAGCTTACCGTAAAGATACAGTTGTAGTAAAATATTTACTAGATTATTATTCAGATAATGCCACAAAAACTTCAAATTGGATGTTTACAGTAACTAAAGCCATTCCACTTCTTTATGAATATAAATTAGCATATTATGTTAAGGAATTATTTCAAAAACCTTGTTTTGGCTCTAATGAAGTTTACTTGGAAAGGTCAAAACTTGATATTAAAGACATAAATCGTAGTCAACAAAAGAATATCCATGCTTTAAATATAAATACAGGTCTTATCAAGAGAAATGAACATTGTTTCTTAAAACAAATGATTTATCGAGACAAACCTAGGTATGCTTAATGGAAAAGTTAATTTGATATAGAAGCGCTGTAATTAACCATTTATTCCATTATTTAAATTTTAGTAAGAAAACAAAGAATTCTAAAAATATCAAAAATATCGATCAAGTTTACATGGTTCCGCTCCCAGATTTTACTGTATATCCTGACGGGATACATGATGAACGAAAATACTGGGGTTTACCGATTGCATCCTTAAAATACTTGTTTTGGCCGCGTAGTCATGTAATAAAACAAGAAGAAAAACTAAGTCCATTTTTGAGAATGATAAGGTATGATTATACTACGGAAATTTATGATAATCCGTCGATGGCCGCAGTAATTGATTACAAATGGAGCAAAGCAAAAAAATATTTCACCATGCAAGCATTGACTCGTCTTGTATTTGGAGCATCGTATGCAATTTTATCGAATTCAATTCATGGACTTGGTGAAATTGATAGATCCAATACTTTTTTCGTCTTTGTGGCTGTATTTTATTGGTTAGGATTTTATTTATTGAACACTGAACGAGTTCAATTACAATATGAAGGATGGAGAAGATATTTTAGTGTTTACAATTTTTTTGATTTGTTCTCAATTTTATTGCCATACGCAGCAGCTACGTTACAAGTTTATTATTATTCAAAAGAAGAAGTCGATATTATTGGTGATTATTTTAATATGGATGGCAAATTTTTCACAATTTTTAATTCATTTACGGTTTTAACAATGTGGATTGAAGCTTTCTTGGTTAGTTTTAAACTTAATTTCTCTGATTTTAAAGGCATAATCCTATAAACTTATTCATAAAAGTTGAATATTTAAAATTTAGTTATTGCGATACCTTGAAAAAACCGGGGCTTACATATACATTGTCATGAACATCGTAAAACAAATAACATCTTTCTTGATATTTATATTGTTGGTCGTCCTCGGATTTGGTCATACTATGTAAGCGGAGATTAAAGTTATTGTTATTCCCTTTGATTGAGGAAGCCTTGTTAATGTATTTCTTTATATTTTCAGGTTTATTTTACTTAGCAATACAGATCGAATCAGCGTTATACCTGACGGTTCCAATTTCAAAATCTATGATAATAATAAAGAACCAACACCGGGGTTAAATAATTTGGAAATAAATCAAGAATTTGATGTGAATAGTACATCGGATAATTATTATACGAATATTTTTAAGTCTATCGAAGCAGTTTACTTTTGGACTAACGGTCGTTGGGATCAATTAGATCAATGGAATTTCTGGCCAGTAGATGTCTTTTCTATCATTGCTAGTATCCTTCTTGTTACAATTTTGCAAAATATGTTAATTGCAATTATGGCGTAAGCATTCTTTTATTCCTTATTTTTATATTAATTTATTATAATTAATTGCTTACTTTATCAATTTAGTGGTGTTTACGAACAGGCAAAAGAAATTAGTAAATCTGCAGTACTGAAATACCGAGCAGAATTGATCGAAGATTATGAGACACTTAGTAATCCGATCGGAAATAGAAAAGAAGATCCTCGATACATTTATTTCATTGGAAAATCCAAATATATTAAAAAATGGTTAGAAAAATCCGAGAAAGAAATAGAAAGAAATAAGATTTTCTTGGGCGAAATAGATGGTGGTAATCCATGGTCTTATGATGATAGCGATGAACAAGAACGTTTTCAAAATTTTCAAAATTCACATCATCATTCTCGTTCTTATAGTTTACCAAACATAGGCGCATTATGCTTATATTGGTTTGTAGATGAAGATGAAGATGAAGGTGAAGGTGAAGGTGGAAAGAACATACCAAAGGATAAGTCAGATATAGTGTTGCAGTATATGGAACAAGAATTTTCTGAAAGGTTGCGTTTTATAGAAGATAGTGTTAGACAATTATTACAAAATCAACAAAATCAACGAAATGTTGATATTAATTAATGCTATTGTAGCTGTTTATTTAAATAATTTCTTTTTTATAAATGATTGATAAATTAAATATTTGAATAATATATGCTCTTCTGTATTACTGATGTTCTCGAGAAAAATATAAAATCATTTAATATTCACTCCAGATTTTATAACGAGAAAAGAATTTAATACTAACTGAAAGATGAATATATGATTGCAACCATATTGACAAATAGGTCTTTGTATTAGAAGGGGATAACTACCGGTGAAAAGATAACTTCACTTTTATATGCCAAATATACGTGAAACATTTAATTAAGAAAATAGCCAGAGGAAATGCGAGAGTATAAAAAATATATTTATTTAAATTCATCGAATATTACAAAAGGAAATAATTATATAAATGTAAAAGTATGAAGAAAAAAAGATTTGCACTAGTATATATGTGTATTATTATTTTTTATTTTGAAAAAAATAGAAACCTATATCAATACATACGTTATTATATTATTCTGCAATAATTTTTCACGATTATTTATTTCAGTATATTATTCGAAAATAACCGTAAACAACGTAAAATTTTTTACCCAATTGACTCATGCTTTATATGTAAAAATAGAACCTCTTCCTTTTATTAACACCACCGCACATTATTAATGTTATTTTAACGGCTATATTCCCTAAATACAAATTTTCAAATTTTTACCGACCCTTGACTTACGCGATCATAGTTTTCTTATATGCATTATTCATATTATATTTAGGTTAATTTTATTATTATTCAAAATGATTCCATAGATTATCGAGTTCTAATTTTTTTGATTTCCCAATATTTATGAAATACGCCATTATTCTCAGTGTATAGAAAGTTGCATCAATTTCATCTAAATTCTCAGCCTAGCCTCTTTTCTTTCTAATCTTGAAGAATGCTACCTTATAGTTTTGAACCGGTTTGTGAAAATAAAACCGGTTCCAACCTCTATCTACCTAGTTTTTCCTGCTGCATTTTATGCGATTTTACTTTATTTTTCATGTGTTCCGGAATATCAAGTCATAAAACATTTTTTTTTATTTTATTAAGTAAATTTTCTTAGTGATAAAAGGAATATTTTTCTAATCTATTATTTTATTCAGATTAATTATTAATCCAAAAAAAAATTAAACGATGATACAATAATACAAAAATGAAATCATACCAATACCGGACCGGATAGAAAAATCTGATAGAATTATAAAATCATTTTATTGAAAAACAAAATTCAAAAGTGGAAATCAACCTATTGAATCAAAACATTAGTTCCTCAAGTAAGGGAAAGTTATTTCGACAATTTTCTAATCATTTAGAAGTTTTGTTTAAATCAAAATATCACTAGGAATTTATAATAAATCAAGATCATTTAAGTCGTTTTCAAGGTCATTTTAAGATCCTTTGTAGATTTTATGTCGGTAATTGTCAAATATTCTATCGCGGTTTCATTTTTATTAGTTCTTAAATAAATTGTCAGTTGTATCGTAAGGGAAACAGGCGTGTTATTATGTGGAAAATAATAAAATTTAATTTAAACACATCGAAAATCCATAAATTGAAATTTTTTATATTCGTTAAAGCGTTTTTTTGGTTAAATAGGAAATTTTTTCATTTAATTAATATTAATTCGGACAAATAAAAAATTTTCATTCTTCAAATTAGGAAACAGCTATACAATTAATCCTAATAAATAAAATTTTTTATTTAGAAATTTTTTACTGTTACACCGGTCATTATTGGATCGGTGGCTTAATAGCTTAACGTTACATGATTTACCAAGTGCATTTTTTTTTTTTTTTTTTGCTTTTTTCACCAAGAATTTTTATCATCTTTTTACAAAAATCAAAATGCAAGAAGACAATAATTCAAATGACTGGATTAATTTGATAGAGGAATATATTTTAAGAAATAAAATCAAATGCTACGAACACGAACATTTTAGCAATATTCAAGAGATCGGTACTGGCAGCTTTGGAAAAGTCTATCGTGCAAATTGGAAAAGTTTAAGGCAACCTCTCGCGTTAAAATCCTTTCATAACCTTAACAATGACACTGTTAAAGAAATAGTTCGTGAGGTAATTACAAATGTTAAAATGTATTTCAGTCTATTTC